AACATCCAGTGTTCAGGCTTGAGGCAGGAGTTTATTTCTAGTTAGGAATTCCAACCTTTGACTTCTTATCGAACAAGAATTCCCGAGACAAAATGAAAGACTGTATTATTCATTTTATCAATATAGATTAAAAAAGAAATAAATTCTGCATTGATCGGTGGAAGCACACCATACGGCAGTGTTTTCACTTGAAATATTTGTTAACAAACAATATAAACTACACGAAAGATCGCAAGTCGCATATTTCACATATTTTTAACGGTGGTATTCAATGGCGGTACTTGTCAATAACAGCAAGGTCAATTTACATCCAATCTCCATAGTACATAGATTATTAGTAATGGTGTGGTGGGTCATCTTACGTCATTGACATATACTTCTTCCATAACTTCTACATTGTGTGGTGTAGATACCCTCGCTATCGTATCGCCCTCAGTTATCTGCGGAATATGATGTAATTCATTTGCAATTTGGGGTGGTGGTGGTAGAATGTGATATTCCTCTCCAAAAACCAATAACATTAAATACTAGTAACCAACACTCGTTGTGATTATGTTGGTGTTGGGTACAGCTATGTAGTGACCCTGCCAGGGATGGTGATTAGAATTCCAGTGGGGAGAGTGGAAGTAAAAAGATCAGCGTTTTCGTCTACCTGTCTCAACACCCCACTCACATCGTGCCGCCGGCTTGGCGCATTTAAACAAACACTGTAACAGTTTAAAGATTACCACTAAGATAAGCCGAACAAGCCGAGTCTACAAGGCAATCGGAAGATTGGATTGGACCCTGCCAACAACTCTAAAAACTACTCATAGATCACAGTCCCAAAACAATCTACAGAGGGGGTGCATTGTGCGACACGTTGTGTATTCAAAGTTTGAAGATGTATCACTCTGCTGCATGTATATATATGTCCTATATCGTGTTATGAGTTTCCAAATGAAAAATAATCTGAACATGATTGTTTTTATTTGTACAAGCAATCATTCTTAGACGCCCTCTTTTTTATAGAGTTGAACTGGAACGTTAAATTTGAAATTTCATACAAATTGATAAAACACAACGATTATTTTCGCATTGGTTCAGATTAGACACCGTAGATGGCAGTTTATTTTTTGGAGATTAAACGTTGTAAGTTAGATCGTACAGCTCTGAGAGATAACGGTATACTGCGGCTTCACCGTGCAATATTTATCTACGCGTACAGTTAGTTAATTTGGATGTCGTCAGCGCTATCGACGCATTATCAGTGCCCACAGTAACGAGCCGCTTTAAAATGTTTGATTATTCGTCTTTAATGGCCCACTGATTGCTGTTGTAATGCTCATTATTTGCCAAACAACACGGACGGTAAATAAGAATGCGATGCCAGTTGCACTCTGCACCCGGGGTACACCTTGGCGCTGAGTATGTAGTTTCATCATAGCCCTACGATGCGCTCCAAAAACAAGACAAACCCAAAGTTTCCTTTTCAACTCCCCAAGGTGCAATAAGTGAAACAGCGTGTGTACGTTTACAGTCAATATAAAAAGATGATTTTTGCCAAAAAGGAGTTGTTTTTACTGTTTGTTGTTTTTTAATCTAAAATAAGATGACGTCATCGCTTTCATACAGTAATTAACAAAAAGATGAACTCGTAGGAAAACAGGTTGCGGTGAGAATATAGTGAATTCTTTCATAACCCATGAACGCCATAATTTTAACCTCTAAAATTGTGGTGCAACAACTTGAACATTTGTATGTTATTTTTTCTGTATTATCTATGTTAATATCAGCATACTCGTAGTTCATAATCATCATTTATAATAAAAGTAAATAGAAAAAAAACAATATTTAGGTTTTATTTTGTCGAAAGTGGCAGAATTTTGCTTTCCCATTTGGCGTGAGTCGCACTAAATATGAAATTGGCAAGCCAACAAATATATCACGTAATTCCCATTACATAATTGCCCAGTGAGTGTAATTTATAAAACCAAATATATTACTTCTAAATACAGGTCATCTACTTGTTCGGTGGCTTAGTTTAGGTAAGTACATAACTCTGTAGTTCTTCTGTCGGCGACTATATTACTACATGAAGGTATGCGACTTGTAAACGTGTTACCTCCGATAATGTTCGCGACTGACTTCACATTATATTTTGATTGGCTCACGCCCACAAGTCGCGTGATCATTCCCAGATTAAGAACACTAGATACAACTTACAATTATAGATAGAACGAACTCGAAGATGTTTTCATAATTGTGGTGTAATTGTTTTAATCGCGTCACCGATTGTTCGGCCGGCAACAAGGCGGAGGTTTGATTTTCAGAATTCCCCTCCGATTCCGCCACCGCCGCTAAAGTGAGGTTAGCATAATCTCATAAAGTCAATGGAGTCTCTTGAAAAAGAAAGCGTCCACACTGCACCCAAGACACCTGCCATTCTCTTCAATTTGCACTTCAAGCTGAAGAGCTAAACTAACAGCATTATAGGACGACATTGTCTCCGCCACTCCAGTGTTCACATCCAGACATTGAATAGTTGTTGACGTCCACATTGATAGAAATCCCTAACGCGAGAGCGCTTCAACACCAAGGGTTTGGAAAAAAAATGGCAAGGTTGGTTACTTCTAGATTTGTTAACAACATCCAAGGTTAAGTTGTTAAGTGCAAAATAGCTACTCAAAATTCAGCGAATAAAACTGAACGAATACGGGGCCTGACATGCGCGTCGGTCGAGTAACGAGCCTCAAGTCACGGCTAGAAATCAATGGCGCAATGACACAAGGGAAGTCATGAGGGCCGTGTCGATTCATGCAGCCGCCTTGAACGGATGAGATGAGATGTTAGCGAAACAAGACCTTTTCCTATGGTGTCTGGTTATACCTATATATACGCTATTCTTCGTGACTTAAATTGAAATTTGTGACACGCACTGCAGTTTTCGGAGGTAGCGACAAACTCGTGTTTACTTCGACTACACAGCTAATCGTCGAACTGGTGAAATATTTACGTTGCCATTATACGCCTTCTCGTTATAAGGCAATCGCGAGACCATTACCCCTTATTTGATGTGTGGTTTGTTTGCTTTTGCAATAGACGCAGTATGTCAGAGTGCATGAGAATTAGGAATGCTAGAGGAAAGGGGGACAACGTGATTTCAAGTTCTCTAAGCAGAACGTCGCCGCTTCACAGTTGTGAAGCAATTCATTCTGACCAGGGTTACGGGTTATCGGGTTAATGTAATTCATTGCTGGTAATAAAGGTTGTCCGCATGTCAAATGGAGTCAGAAGGTGACGGTGAGTAGCATATTTCACCTAACATCCGCGGTTTAGCTGGACATAGTGGCGCCAGGCTGCTAGGATGCAAGCTCGTACCTCATCTATCGATCAACTTGTTTGCTGTTGTTGTTTTCAAGTCCCTCTGTCTACGCGAGTTTACCAACGAATAACCACTTGCCGACAGGGCGAGTGTCCAAGTCCAAGTTCAGGGAACCGCTTTCCATGCTACAATTTCAGGAATAACGAAATGTTACACAATTGTGACCGCTAAGAAAAACGTGAACTAAGTGCTTTATTATTTTGAACAACTTGAAACCAGTCGAAATTTCCAGTATTACTGCCTTCTTATCCAAGTATCGATTGTGATTTCTGCCTTACTTGTGAATTGAAAAGCCATTCCTGTTAGCCTATGAGGCTAAGTTTCAGTCATCTTAACGACCACGACATCACGATGATCATAAACAAACCTGGTATTTCATCGGATTTCATCAGGTAAACATTTGCGTGACTGTCGTATGTCAGTTGTTCGGGGTACGAGCAAAAGTAAGATCATTGACCAAAGCTGTCAATATAGCTAAGTGTGTTAGCGTCGTTAGAATTTCGTATTTTTTTCTATTGCCTTCGAAGACGTGTGTTAAAGGGCGGTGGTCGCCACGCCGCGTCCTGTACGATATGGGACTCATAGCGACGTATACAACGCGTGTAAAATACATAATTTGTTTACATGAAATTCGAACACGCGCTGTGCGACGCCCAACTTCCTTTAATATGTAATATGAACTAGGAGTTGCGAGTTTAGGCAAGGAAACGAAGAGCCATGCCCATTTCACCGACCCAAATTCAAGTTGGACTTCCATGCATGGAATGGTGACCGTCATGGTAAGGTGACGACAACCGTGATTTGAACACTAAATAATATATTCTTGATACTGTTATAAGTACAATGCGTGTTTCCATCGAAATTATAAACTAAAACTTGGCTGCGTCTGCAATGGTGGTCGGATAATGACTCATAGTACATACGGAGGCGTGTCATTTGCCAAAAAATAAGCAATCACAGACAATTTTGTTGTAAATATATTTACATTATCAATTTCACATTCCATCAAGATATTACATACGCCATGCAAACATTGCACTCCGAATTATCACGGTCACAGCTATAGTTGCATATTGCCTTAACAACAAGAAAATCATGCATATCTAGATTTAAAAATGATATATTTACATATTAAAACCACGTGGCAAGTATAAAGACTCGTGCGGCGTATCCGAACTATCTATTAAAGGGCGGCGGTTGTCGTGCCGCGTCCTGTTCGACATAGGACAATGGCGATGTATACCACGCGTGTAAAATACATGAAATTCGATCACGCGCTGCGCGACGACCATCGA